GTTGTTGTTGATTTTTAAGCTATAAATAAGTTTAGGTGATTGTTAATGTTAATGCATTGCTTGTTCTTTACTTGCATTTTTATAGTAAAAAAGAACTATCAACCAGTAATTGATGTTGCAAGTAATCGATGTCGCAAATTTATGTTTATATGTCTGATGTCATTATACGAGCTCTCTGCTGCATTTTTGTTCTGGTAACCAAAAAGAATAAGTACCTAACAATATTTATATGGATCCTTATAGAAATAGTTCATACTAGCAAAACGAATCGTAATATGATGCGATAAATGTCTTTATATTTAAGTGGAAGCAGTTGTTTCCTAAAAGCTAAGATAAATCTAGCTAAGTGAAAATGCTTTACCTTCTCTTTTGTCTTTAATAACCTGCACATTATATTGTGTATAGTAAGTTGGTATTGTCACAAAATCTTCATTCTGATTGTTCGTTTTCGTGCTAAACAACAACAGAGCCAACAACTTGAATACTTTAATTCCACTTATGGCCAATATAGTTTAGTAGAGACTTAGTTTATCTCTTTGTAGCCCAATTCTGATGCATAATTGTTTTTTTACATTTGCAGGTGTGGCTGTTACTTTTGTTATAAATGTGGAGCTGAGTCAACTAATCATTATTGCAGTCGCTGTGGTACTTAAAAACGTACTCCTATTTTGCTTAAACTTATTACTACTGTCTTTTCTTTTTTCTTTTTGTTCCCAAAAATATGAGTCGACTAGGGAAGTAGTAATCTATTTCGAGTATAATGGTGAGTTTTGCTTAAGAGCATCCTCCTCTAATTTTGATCACGTATTATGGTTAGAACATAATTTGGTATGGTGGTGAATACATGGAAACATGTCCATAAATATGCATGTTTATAGTTCAATATTCTTGGAAGAGCCTTCTCTTTGTGCAGGGGCGGCGCTAGAAGCTCGGCTACGAATTCGACCGCACTCAGTAGCTTTGGCTCGAACTATATATTTGTATTAATAAAGTATTAGACTTATTGTTGCATTTCATCTATATTTTGATTGTTAGACTTTGTTACTATTGTCTTATTTTACTGTTGTTGATGTAACGACCCAACCGATTATTTCGAGTTCTGGAACCCCATTCAAACAGATAATGCATTTTCTTCGTACCAGCATTGTATTATATTTCACAGTTGCTCATGACTTGTAATACTAGTTTTGAGGTAGCTTGTATTAAACTTCACTTACTTTTTTCATTATTTTATTTTATGGTCTTCGGTTAGAGATACTTTAAATATGTACAAATATTAAATTTAGAACCCAGTTATTAGCATTTGAAATTGTTGCTCTAAAATTCAGAATGCATAAAGTTGACATCGTTACTCCGCCTCGGATTTTGTGTCCGGAGAAAGTATATTTTGAATTGTTGGTGCGACTTGCATCTGTCAGCTTCTCCTGATATGTTCTCTGGTTTGGTTGTATGCTGGAAATGTCGTATGTCTTTGTGCCATTTCAGGGTAGTGGCAAGGCTCCGCACATCTTACCTTCCCCAGGCTCCACTTGTTGTTATTATTGTAGTTGTCGTCGTCTTTGTGCCATTAGAAATTTGTTATCTTTTTTGGTAGAGGAAAAATAACAGAACTAATTCTGAGATGCTCTTTGGAATTTTCAGGTACATTAGACAGATTGTAGATATCAACAGGCCAGGAGGCAAAAACTGCAAATGCGCGATTTGTTCTACTGATTTTGTTTTGACTACTCTTTTTATATCCTCGTAACTGGAGTGCTTGGATTGCGGATTAGGTATTCAGAGTTCTCCGGCCTTAGCAGAAAACTGAAGAAATAGCTGAAATCTGTACTTAGAAATGACTGTTTTCCAGATTTTTTTGGTTATTAAGTTCGGCTGATTGAAGTACATTTTGGATCTGAATGTAGGAGATTTTAAATTTTGGTAGCTTCTTACCTTGAATATGTGGAACCTCAAATTTGAAGTTTTCCAATTCAATGAGCAGGTTATCCCAAGCTTATAGTTGCAAAATGACTGACATAATTCATTCAATACAACTTGTCCGCAGGGGCGGAGCTAGAAGCCTAAGTGCCGATTCGGCTGAATCCACTAGCTTTTGCTCAGGCAGTGTATTTGTGTTAAAAGATTCATTAACTGTGCACGTATATTAAACTTAGAGTCCATTTAGTAGCTCTTAAAATAGTCGTTCTAAAATTTTGAACCTATAATATCCTAGCTCCGCCTCTGCTTGTTCGTTGAGAATTCTTATGTATATTTGGTAAAAATAGCACGGTATAGCCAGTTTTCGGACTGGTCAATAAAAAATAGCCAGCGTTTACCAAGTCAATGAAAAATAGCCACTATTTTGCTGCAATAGAGACCGGTCCAGCATAATATACTGGAGTTCGGTGCACTTGTGTATGAATTCTAGCATATTATGCTGGACCGGTATACTTTGCTGGCTCCAGTATAATATACTAGAGACTGGAACACCAGTGCTCCAAACTCCAGTATATTATACTGGACCAATATACTTGCTGGAACTCCAGTATATTATACTGGACTAATATACTTGCTGGAACTCCAGTATAATATGCTGGAGTTCAAGTATACTTATGCTGGAGTATTTTTCGGGTTTTGAACAGTGTTTTCGCTCAGATTTATCTTTATATAAAAAGTGGCTAAATTTCGATTACTTTTGAAATTGGGCTATTTTTGAACGACCAGTTGTAAATCTGGCTATTTTTAAAATTTACCCGTATATTTGCAGTTATGCAGGTCTAGGAAGACCTAACTATCACGAAAGGGTGGTGGAGTGGTATTGTTATTTCTTTCTTAACCAAAGGTGTCGAGTTCGAACTTTGGGAATGAAGTCCTCTTTGGTATGTAACGCTAAATCCCCCATAGTGGGCCTTCTTATAATAAGAAAGTGGATTAATCGAACCAATGAGTTCCGGATACTAGATACTTGAAGCCAAATTAAAAAGAGAACTAGGAAGACCTGGAATTCCTCAATCATAATTCAATTAAAAAGAATTGACTACCTGACCAATGTATAGTTAGATTGGTTGCAAACAACCTATGCTGTATACAGAGGGTCACCGACACCCGTAAAGTTTGGCAAAAATTTCATGTATACATGTATATATCTTTAGAAAATAGTGATATATTAGTAGTGGACACCTAATATAAAATAGATTTTAGTTGAATCCAAAAGTGTATCTCCGATATTCAAATCTTGGGTCCGCCTCTGATTGCGTCAGATGAATCATTGTTTTCCAACCAAATTCTGCGCCATGAAGTAGCACTTGGGCTATTAAAGTTGATAAGAGAAGTATAATGAAGGTATCTTTACACAAATTGTCGTCCATATTCGTTATTTAATTTTTCTAATCGTATACATAACTTATACGTTAATTATACACAATTATACACATATAATATATAAATTATGCATATATTATACATTTATCGGCTATTTTTAGTTTAAGTGATTGGATGGATGGCTATTTGGGTTAATTCTTCTATAATGAAAACTGTCATTGACAACATAAAGTGCAAATTTCCAAATTTATTGTAGTAATTTTCAACAGTAACATCTTTAATGGTATATTTAGATTCAATTTTCAATGTAGCTTAGCTTTAAAATCTTGGGATGTTGTTTATGAAAAAAAAAATTTATTTGACCTTCGTTTAAACTTTTATTTTGGATCACTTGATTGCAGAAAGTAGGAATTGCATCACATACAACACAAATAAAATATTCATTCTCTTTGTGCATTGAACAAAAATATTAAAAAACTAAAAGAAAAAAGAGAATGAATTAGTCGTCCACATTCTTTACTTCTTTTTATTTTAGTTCTCTTTAATAAAAATCTTGATTCCGCTACTATTATATTGGCTGCTTGGAGCACTAGCTGTAACCATCAATATTTCCGATGCATCATACAAGTAAAATCATTTATTCTTTCCTTCAATTTTCCACTAGTCAATTATCGCATTTTATTTCATTTATGAAGTTACAATCTTACTAACGCTATTAGATGTGCCTATTAAATTAAAAAGGTCAGCCTAATATACAAAGCATTCAACATTCATGCAGAATTCAGGAAATTAGGATCGCACCTCTAAGGGTGTTATGTAGACATGTATCTTAATGCAAGTATTAGTGACTGTTTTTACGTCTTGAATCCGGTCATATAAAGACGTGCTTATTAGATTAACTAATGAAATTTAGCATCCGCAAATTGTAAACACAATGATATTTTGGATCTCCAATTTGTATGGGTCGAAATCTGACTACACGTGGGGTTGACTAAGTTGTGGTCGTATTCATAAGACATCATAACAACGAGCATCTCGGCCGCTGCCGGGATCGAACTATCAGAAAGCCAGTACGGCGAACCATGTGTCGTGACACTTAAGGGGAACGACCCAACGTACAATCAATAGATTAAGGTATTCTGGCTAAGAACCGTTGGATAAAAGGGAATACTTGCTATATATATAGGGGGAAGAGAACAAGAAAGGGGGGGTTTTTTCTCTCCGTCAGGAGAAAGAGGCAGAAGAACCGGAGAAGGCTGCGGGAGAAAAACAAGAGAAGTTTCGGATCTTGGCGGCAAATCTTTATAATCATCTTTCCTGAATCAATAAGGGTAGATCCTGCAACTGTTAATGGCCTTCCTTCTTTTCCTTCTTTATTCCTACATTACGAAACAGTACATCAAGAATGTAAGCATGTCATTTATTATCGATATCTTTTATAAATCTTAAAAGTTCATGAGCTTGACTATATCTTATTCTCTTATTCGATGTGCTTTGATCTAGAGTTAATTGTCCGTGGCTATGATTTATCCTCTATTTTCTTATTAATTAGTTTAACAAAAAGCTTAATACTTTTTGGTCAAACACAGTTAAGTTGTAATAATCATATGATAAGAAGAACCTTTCAGTACAACTGATCACTATGTTACAAAAACAAGTTCAATTTTCATTCTGGACTCATCTTTTTCAGAACAAAACGTACAGCAAAAAAATGAATAAGAAAAAAAGAGACCTTTAAGTTTAAGCAAATGTCTTTTAAGTACCACAGTTACTGCAGTAATGATCAGTTGAGTGAGCTCCACATTTGTAACAAAAATCACATCCACACCTGCAATTTTAAAAGACACCATTTGAAAAATATAATACTAACAGAAATATCAATTTAGAATAAAAAAATAAAGCCTTAAAATAATTACATCTCAAAATTTAAAACCAACTGTCAAGCTGAAATTATAATTGTAGAGTGACACCTTGTGCAATATTCTGACATAATATTTCACCGACGCAGGGTCTATTGAAAACAAACTCTCTACCTTCACCGGATTGGATAAGGTCTATGGATACACTATCTTTCTCAGACTGCACATGTGAAATTACATTGAATTTGTTATTATTTGTATGATATTTCACTGACCGTAAATCACTTTTTTATCCATTTAATAATATCAATAGGAGGAAATAATTAAAAATAATATTCTCGCACAAGGTCCATGCTAATCTTCTTAATTATATTCCTAGTTTATATATCATAGCTTACCGCACCATGGGCTAGCTCAGACACCCACGGGTGGAGTACTACTTAGTCAAGTAGAAAGTCAAACCCAAGAGTGCGGTAAGCCAGGATCGGGTTAATACTTACGATTCGGAGACCAAGTCACAGACTACGACAGCCTGGTATTACTAAGCTCCCGCTATGCGCGGGTTCCGTGCAAGAACGGGACTACAAGGGTTTATTGTACGCAGTCTTATCCTGCAGAGCTCATTCTCTAACAAATAGAAAAACATGAAAATCATATTAACTAACTGACCTGCATTTCATTTGGGCACAACCTTGAGACCTTCCAACATAAATCCTACAATTTGGACATCTTTGCCATTCTTTACTCTTAGCAAGTTGCATTAGTTGTATATCTTCTCTTTCCCTTTCATCTTTGTTCAATTTTTCAAATTCTTCACACAAAATTTCTGAATGCCAAGGAACTTTACACTTAGCACAAAATAACCTTTTACATTCTGGGCATTCACATTGAGTAATAGTAACCCAAATTTCACCCTTAGATTCATCAATCAAAAGTGCAGAACAATCCTTAAACGGGCAATAAAATTTCTCAGACTCCAAAATCATCGACTCACATAATGCGTCACCCCACTTATCAAACACATCATTAGGCAAAATTGAACGACAATAATATGGCTCTAATAACCTGTTACACCCCGAAACGGGACATGAAATTTGAGAAATGTTTTCTTGGAGTTTTTTGGCTATGTAATTAGCCATGCATTGTTTGCAATAAGAATGAGTGCAACCCATAATTTTGAACATTTCACTTGCAGACTTATCATAAGCACAAATCTCACACGTAAAACTATTATCATGGCCATCTAAATGAACAGACTTTGGACTTGTGACTTCCATTGATGTTTAGTTTTTTGCGTTAAACCACAAAAATGAACCTTAAATTAAACTAGGGTTAAGTGACCCTCACGATTTCAGAGGCAAATAAAGATTCTTGAATTTGGTGATAAAGAAGATAATACGTTTTTTTTGGGAATTAGAAATTGTGAACCTTTGAACTTCTATGCAAAAGCTTGTTTTCAAAACTCCCTCCGGTCGACTTTAATTGATTTTTTGGCTTTTTTTTTATGGTCTACAATATTTGATTCTTTTCAAAAATCAAGAAGTATTTAACTTCTTTTTTCCATAGTTGCCATTGGAGTAAAGAGCCTAGGAATATTTGTTATATTTTTAATGAACAAATTAAGGTTAATATGGTCTGTCTCATTGTTAATTAATGCTAAAATGTGAACTTAATATGTTTAAAAAGAACCAAAAAATCACTTAAAGTGGACCAGATAGAGTAGTACTTTTACTAGTTAGAATGAGAGTACCAAATAATTAGGTAATTAGAACCTAGTTAGTTGCTTTTAAAATAGTTGTCTAAAATTCAGAACTCATAAAATTAAAATTCGAGCTTTACCTCTGCTTGTCCATTGAGAACTCTTGTGTATATTTGCAGTTATGCAGGTCTGGGAAGACCTAGCTATCACCGAAGAGTGGTGGAATGGTAATTGTTACTTCTTTCTTAACGAGAGGTCTCGAGTTCGAGCTTTGGGAATGAAGAGTAGGTAGTGTTAAAACCCCCCATAGTGGACCTTCTTATAATACGAATTGACTACTTGAGCAATGTATAGTTAGATTGGTTGCAAGCAGAAGTGTAACTATACTGTATAAAGAGGGGTCATCGGCACCCATAATGTTCGGCAAAATTTCATTTAAGTTTTTGTATATATATATATATATATATATATATATATATATATATATATATATACAAAAATTATACAAATTTTATATACTTTTTTGGCTACCAAATATAATAGTTTCTGGCGCGGGCTAAAAGTGAAAAATGCCACGCAGAATTTGGCCGGAAAACAATGTGTCAACTGACTCGCCATCAGAGGCGGACCCAAGATTTGAAGGTCGAAGGTGCAATTAATATATATATATAATAACCGAATAATATATATTCTGCTATTATTTTAAAAATGGCCATACAGTATCATTTTTCCAATTCCGTGCCATGAAGTAGAACTTGGCCTATTAAAGTTAGATAAGAGAAGTACAGTGAAAACTGTTATTGACAACATAATGTGCAAATTTCCAAATTTAATACTAGTAAGTTTCAACAGTAACATATTTAATGGTATATAATTTCAATTTTCAATGTAGCTTTAAAATCTTTGGGATGTTTCTCAAATTTGAATTAGCTGACCTTCATTTAAACTTTAATGTTGGATCATTTGATTGCAGAAAGTAGGAATTGCATCACATATAACACGAAATAAAACATTCATTCTCTTTGTGTTTAGAACGAAAAAAAAATTTAAAAAAAGAGAGAACTAATTAGACGTCCATTATTTGCAAAATACTATATATATTGAATCCCTTCAATTTTTATGTGTTTATTAACAGTGTTAGACGTGATAATTAGATTAACTAGTGAAATTTAGCATCTACAAATCATAGAGGGAACTAGCATTGTAAGTTTATGAGTTCTTATAGCAATATCAAATAAAATTACATTCATAACCGGATCAATAAATTGGGCTCCAAGCTAAATATATTTTATATATTTAATGAATTTAATTTAATGTTGAATCACTAGATTGCAAAAAGTAGGAATTGCATCACATAGACCATTAATTGCAAAATACTACTCCCTCCGGTCCAAAATAAGTAATTTTTTGGCCTTTTTTTTGTGGTCCAAAATAAGTGATTTTTCCAGATTTCAAGAATGAATTAATTATTTATTTCCTACATTGCCCTTGGAGTAAATAGTGTTGGAGTATGTGTTAGGAGTATTTATGTGAAGAGATAGTAAAGGTTAATATGGTCAATTTTATTGCTAATTAATGTTAAAAGGTGGATTTCTTAATATGTGTGAAAACAGCTAAAAAATCACTTATTTTGGACCGGAGGGAGTATATGTTAAATCCCCTGATTTTCCGTGTACTAATTAACAAAGTTAGGCGTGATTATTAGATTAACTAGTGAGATTTAGCATCCGCAAATCATTGACGGATTCAGGATTTTAAGTTTATGGGTTGTTATAGCGATATCAAGTTAATATACATTAATAGCTAGATCAACAAACTTGGTTCTGAGCTAAATATTCTTATACATTTAATGAATTTTTAGTACCAATAAAAGATCGAGCTAAAAGTTACTCGTACTGGGTTCACGTTAACCCGTAACTTTTGCACTAGATACGCTCCGGCCAGAAATTGTAAACAATGTAAACATATTTTGGACTTCACCACCATCTCTAGTTAAGTTTTAATAATCATATAATAATAAGAAGCCCTTGGGTACAACTCACCATTATGTTTCAAAGAGCACTTGAAACAAGTTCTACTTTCATTCTGGACTCATCTTTTTCAGAACAAAACGAACAGAAAAAAAAAAAAAAAGGAAAAAAAGGAAAAAAAGAAAAAAAAAAAAAAAAGAGACCTTTAAGTTTAAGCAAATGTCTATTAAGTACCACCGTTACTACAGTAATGATCAGTTGAGTGAGCTCCACATTTGTAACAAAAATCACATCCACACCTGCAATTGTAAAAGAAACCATTTGAAAAATATAATACTAACATAAATATCAATTTGGAATAGAAAATATTTCCCTGACGCAAGAAAACAAGTTCTCTTTCTTCGTCGGGTAGGATAAGGTATGATATACACACTATCTTCCTCAGACCCCATATGTGTGATTACACTGAATTTATTATTATTTGTATGATATTTCACCGACCGTAAATCACTTTTTAATCTATTTAATAATATCAATAGTGTTATAAATAGAATTTTATTTATGGTGAATGTCTATATTTAGAGAGATTCTAGGGTTTATTACTTGGTGGCTAAGTCACCCTCTCCCTATAAATAGAGGGTTCTATTCCATTGTAATTCACTCCAAAAATTCAATAAGAATTCCCTCTCTCTCTTTCTCTGCAATATTGTTCTTCTGCTTTTATTGTTTTATAACACGTTATCAGCACGAGACTCTAACCAATTGAGTAAAAGCTTTGGGATTGAGCATAATGACTGTCAATTATTCCATGAACTTCCTTCATGATTAAATTTTAGATTTAAGGTAAGTATTTTACTTTATTTTACTCTTTTATATTCTTGAAATTCTATAATTTAATTTTATATACAAGCAAAGACAACAAAGTTTTATTATAACTCTAATGGAGTTTGTAAGAAATTATAACCACCTGAAGTGGTAAAATTTCTATGTCTTGCCATGAGCAAAGTCATGTATGATCGTGAGCACAAGAAGTGAAAACCCGTCCCATTGAATTTGCTCCATTCTCATTCCCTTAAGAGAATGTGATAGCAGTATGTAATACGTCTGAAAGAAGACAAAATTATTACCGTAAAAGTATCAATGGATGTGGACGTGGCAATAGACGAAATTATAATAGTCATCATTGTGATAATGAGAATAATAAGGATTCTCAAAATAATCCTTCACTCTGTGAAAGTAATATTTGTCATCGATTTGACATGAGATTTTATAAAGCACATATAGATGATTATGGTCCATTCATGATGTGAATGTGACAACATCTGATTTATGAATACATATTCATTCTTCAAAGAATATGAACGTGCTAGTGGTAGTGAATATACCGCACTCGCCTCTAAAAGGAGGTTTGAGATGATATAAGAAAATAATATCATTATTATGGCATAATGGTCATTGGTCACGTACCTATTGTACGCCAAAATATTTTGGCATTGTGATTGTTAAAAGACAACGATAATGCAAGAAACAGATCTTGTATATAATTTTGACCATAACCATAATGGTATAACTTTCTCTTTAAAAGAGATATTCACCATATGGGTGTTGATGAATATGTGGTAGTACCAAATTAATTGAGAGCTCTGGAAGAGCCAATTATTACTATTTTGGAGAAACACAATTGATTACCATTAAGGTATTGTGTTGTAGTAAGTCTCAAAGAAACTTATTCAGTTTTTAAAGTATTCGCGAAAGCGGTTGATTATATTGAGACTATAAATAAAGAAAAGATTTAATATCTTCTACTACTACAACTTGCAGCAGGATAATATGTATGTGAAAAGCTACCCGCTTTATTCTCCAGTTTGTACTACACAAATAAAACAATACCATACTAAAGTGGATGTTTATTGATATAAAAACTCATATCATAATAAACTTGGAGTTTATTGATAATTGCACACGTCATGGTGTAAATCTGAAGTTTATCAACATTGATAATTTATTCAGTTGGCATAATTGGTTTACCCATATCAATTTAAGTATGATGTGCAAAAATAAAAGAGAATTCACATGGGTAAATATTAAAGAACTAGAAAGTTCTTTACGAATTCTCTTACATTGCTTGTTGTCATTAATTAATAGACCAATTAAAATTGGGATTGAATCCCATGAATGCTGGAAATATCAAAGGTGAATATGGGCCTATTCACCTGCCATGTATACCACATAAGATGCATCTATGAGATGGTTATGTGACGACCCAAAGGGTCATCACCTGTTTCCTCATTCATTCTGTGCTTCCGAGGCCTTGAAAACCTCATTTTTACTTGCCTCAATTTGCGTGCGCAGTCCGGGCGCGTAGCCGGAAAAGCTTTTATGTTGAAATATGTGAATCCTGTGAAAAATTTGAAGAATTTTGATATTAATATGTTTAAGGTTGACTTCGGTCAACAGTTTTGGTAAACGGACCCGGAGTCGAGATTGGACGGTCCCGGAAGGTCCGTAGAAAAATATGGGACTCGGGCATGTGCCCGGAGTCGAATTCCGAGGTCTAGAGCCCGAGGAAAGAATTTTTCTGTGAAATTGTTTTTCTGAAATTAATAAG